AAATCTGCCTCATTTGCTGATATTGCAACCCAACTACTCTTCATTTGTAGAATAGAAGATAAGTCCTAAAACTCTCTCATATTTAGGCCAATCAATGTCATTAGCATACTAAAAGCTAGCGTCCACCCAAAAATCATCCAACAAGATTAATTACTCACATATTTTAGTTGTTTAGCTTATCATTAGTGCCTTAGCAATTACAGAACTAGTTGTAAGATAGAGCCAAAGAAACAGGAAGAAGTCCATATGAAATTAAAAGAAGTCCAGATATTCAAACTACAGTGTCCCTAACTACTAGTGCAATATTAAGGACTAGAGTTTTTTTTTTTTTTTTCCTCATTTTTATCAGGGGCAATGGGAAAACAGGTCCCCACTACAATAAATTATGACATAGGCTCTGCCACGTTTTAATCTAAAAGGCATAACAAACCATTCATGTCTTTCAGGACATGTAAATACAGTCCATTCAATGGATTCGTTAGATATACGGATTTGTTAAAATCCTGATTTGTAGTCAAATTTAGAAAACTATTTTTTATCATGTATTCTGTTAATTAAAACATATTTATTTGGGATTTTATAACTGTCATCATAAGTATTATCATTTAATCTTTTATAATTTATAACCATTCGAGCTTTTCCTCTTTTTATTTTTGCGTAGTTTCTGACCATAAAAGCTGGACTCCTTGGTCATCTAGAGTACAAGGATTATCCTGAGTTTTTATAGTTAAAAGGGAGTTTATTATATTTAGTTTTGCTTCGATTTTATTTTTATACAAATGTTTTTAAGGATTTTCTCCTAAGATTTCGGTTGTTTAAGCTAATCGTAGAAGATTGTCTAAATTTAATTTAGGATTTTTAAGGATAGCCTTGTTATTTAGAAGAATCTTTGGTTCGTCTAAATGGCTAAAAAACATTAATACTTCAGAGACATCTTCTAAAAATTCTGATACATCAAATAAAAGTTCTGTAATTTCGTATGTTATTGGTAAAGTATTGACATAAATAGGTGACAGTTCCTTTATTTTTTGGGGGAATGTTTGGCTTTTTTTACAGAATAAAGGTTCTTTTTTAAAAAAATTGTAAACCTGTAAGGTTATACATAAATTCTTTAGTGAGTGAATTTATATAATTTAGTCCTAAAATAAAATCATAAGTGTTGGAAATATCATTAACTACATAAGTTTGCGGTTAACATGAATTTTTCATTATTAATTAATATAGGAATATTTTGGACACAATGGGTTATCAGAAGTTTTTTATTATTATACTGACTTATTATACTGACTCATATTAATATTGTAGTTTAATTTTATTAATGCTTCTTATGATACTAAATGTTTTTGGATTATACTTTTAGATGCTCCGGTATCTAACATGGCTGAAGTTTGTACTAATTAATTTTTCTTTAAATTCTAAAGTCATGGAGAATTGGACGAGGCTAGAAGGTTTATATATTGAATTTAGGGATTCTACTAATGTTCCTTCATATTTAAAATAATAGTCATGTCATAGTAAAGTTTTACAATGTTCTTTACAATAATAACTTTCCTTAACGGATTTGCTGCATTGCTTACAATTAAAAGATAAGAAATGAAAATTAGTTAAAGTATAACTACATGATGAATTACTTATTGTGTAAATGAAATCTTACATTGAATGAAGTCTTTGTTCAAGATCTTCATCATTGTCGATTTCATTATCTAAGCTTTCGATGCTATAAATACTATCATTATCATCTTCGGAATCATAGACACTTTCTAGTTCATATATTTCTTATATTTTACCTTCAACATCTTCAAGTTTATTGATTTTTTCTTGTATCTTTTTTATAGGATTTTGTTTGTTCCTATAGGGGCAATTTGGTCTTATATGACCGGGATCTTCACAAATAAAACATTTGCAATTTATTTCTCTTGTGGATAGTGCCCTATTATCTTTTTTATTATCATCTTTATGTATTTTTTGCTTTTCGTACTAAGGACGTTTTCGAAATTGTCTGAGGTTATTTTTAAAATATGGTCTTTTGTTATTATAGTTTTTATAGGTTTTACTTTTTCGTAGATTATATTTTTTAAGTTTATTACGCTTATAAGTTTTCTGAAGCATACAACCATACTGAGGTGGAAAATCTAATTATCGACAGGTATAATAAAATTGTTTCTTAATCTGTTTGGATTCTTTACGTTGTCTACATTATACTCTTAACATACTATAAATATAATTGACTCTATCTCCTATAATTAAACTATTTCTGCGAGTACTTTCTCACCATTTTCCCCATATTTTTGTTCCTACACTTCCTGGTAATTTTTTAAGATACCTGTCTATTAAAGTTAGATCTGCTGTTTTGCCTGTGGCTGCAAAATACTCAAAAAAATTATAAGTATAATCTCTTATATATCTAAAATCACAAATTTGTAATAATTCTAAGTTACGTAGAGCTTCCGTTTGAGTTTCTTGCAGGAGTCTATCTTCTCCTATTAATACCTTTTTTATTAGACTTGTGAAGCTTTGAATTGTGAAATTGTCTCGTAAAAGGATATACTCTTCAGTTGCTTGAGCTTTATAGGCTTGCCACCAATCGTTGAGTGTTCCTCTTAGAAGTGTTTCACAATAAGTTAAGGCTTGTGTTCTATTGTCAAAGTTGGTTAGAATAGCTTGCCAAATACAATCTTGTTCCCAATCTTCAACTACCTTTGCCCAATTTTGTGGGTCATGTTGTTCTATATCTAATATCGTTCTTGATTGCAATGCTGGTATATTATCATAATGTATACGGTTTTGTACCTATGGAAACATGTTTGGTATATCTCTATTTTCAACATAAGTTCCACTTGTTGATTTTAGACTTTATCCAGTACTAGTATAATCATTATTTAATGTATTTGTAGTTGTAATACCTGTGATATCAGGCATTTCACGTTCACTTGTCTCTGTAGGTTGGGTTTGAGAGGCTGACGCTCCTACTGGTTCTTTGCCTTCTCTATGTTCTATTACATTTAATTCTTCTTTTAAAATGTTTAATTCATTTCTAGTGTAAAAAGATTCAAAACCTACTATCAATATATTTTTCTTAATATCATCATTATTTCCTTGTCCAAGGTAAATACTTTCTAATAACTGATACTTAGTTTCAGGATACTTATCATTTAGGTCTTCTACATCTAAATTATTGAAATCATACAGTATTTTATCTAGAATTTCATCTTCCAATTTTTCATAGAGGGTGTTTACTTCTTCAGGAGATTCAATTTCTATTAGAGTAATTAAGAATTCTTCTTTGATATTATCATCTATTAGGTTATCTTCTTGTTTATAATTACTGAATCGAATACATGCTTCTCCGTTATGTTTTACATATATCTTATTATTTTCGGGAATCTTTTGGGTTGTTTTATTAAGATTTGGTAATTCCTATTCAGTTCCTTCATAGGTTTCACTACTTACTTTTCTAGCTTCGATCATTTGAACATATTTACTACTAAATGGCTTGACTATTTCGTCAAATTGAGCTTAAAACTTTACGCTATACTGATTAACTGGTTTTCCCATAAATAAAGTATTAATCAATAAGTTTTCATATTATCCTGCCATATTATATCCCTTTGTAGATATTACTATCTTAATATGTTTGCTAAATTCTCTAGTAGTCATTGTAAAATTAAGTGTACATCCTACAATGACTGTGTTAACTGCTAAATCTATCTCTGCGCTAGCAATTTGTGCTTGTAGATGGTTAGTCCATCTATCGTCTTAAATATAGACAAGTGCTTTGGTATCTACTTCTGACCTATTTAATCCTACTATACCAATCATTATTACACCAAAATGCATGAGATCTAATTTACTTTTGTTTAATTCATGATAAGCTTCTGGTGTTATTAGATCAAGTATTACTTGTTTGTTAACTACGCTTATATTTCTTTTGCTAAGATGGTTATAAATTTAACAGATTATTTGAACAAAGACTGACCTTATTAGATACTTTCTTCCTACAATTTTCTATATAATTTTGAGCATCATGCTTACTATCATATAGATCTTTTTTTGCATTATTTCTTTGGCTTTTCTAAGGATAAAGGCCATTCTTTATAAAGTTGCAGGAGATTTACACACTTGGTATCTTTAGTTGAGAAGGAATTAGTTGATATTTTTAAATCCTTTATTGTATCAATAAGTTCGATTAATTCTTTAGAAGTCTATTGGGGAATACTTTTTTGTATGACTTCTAATTTTTCTTCAAGCTTATTAACTTTTTCAGTTAACTGGAGTAATAATTGAATTAAAATATTATTTTGTCTAATTTGCATATTGGTAGATTTTACGTCTGTCGTAAAACTTGTAAGCCTTATAGGTTCTTTATCTATTTTATAGATCTCAGATATAACTTGTAAATAATCAGGATTACTAATGCTCATAAATTATTGTAACAACTTTTGAATATCTTCTTTTAGTGATTTTAAATAATCTATAATTATTTTTTAATTTTCAGAAATATTTTTAATATCACTACTTATATCTTTAATGGTAGAAATGATAATTTTGTTATCTATATTTCTAGGACTAAAATTATGATCAACTTGTGTTTTAATATAATCTAGGTTTTCTCGAGTCGTTTAAGTGAAGAGTCAATAGTATTAAATTCTATTATATTCATAAAATTGTTTAAAACCTTTGTCATTTAACTTCTAAATTATTTTGAATAAGGATAATTTTAGATTTAAGTTTTTCTATTCGTCATTGTAGACTATGTGTGGTATTTTCGAGTTCCAGTGAAGTATAACAATTCCTAAATGCTATTTGAGAACATTCCAGAGATTCTAAAAGTTGTTCTTTAGACAAATTATGAATAAACTAAACATTAGGGGTGAATATATAATTTTAAGTAAAGAGTGTGGTAGTTCTGTAAATATCTATTAGACTAAGCTGTGGTCCACTGTCCTAGTTGTTTTTATCTGATTGGTGTAGTGCATAAATGACGTGGCGGACTTGGTTCATGCAAAAATTTCTCCCCATTCGCCGATTTCTCTGAAGTCTGAACCCTACCTTTCTCTCTCTAAACCCAAAAGCTTGGGTTTCGTTTTGATTCGGCTAGAATCGTCTGAAAGCGATGAAGGTTTTGAAATCGTCTGTGGGAGACGGTGATGCCTGGCCACCGGGGTTCCGATTTCATCCGACCGACGAAGAACTTGTGCTGTACTATCTCAAGAGGAAGATCTGTCGCATGCGGCTCAAGCTCGACATCATCGCAGAGACCGATGTCTACAAATGGGATCCAGAAGAGTTGCCAGGTATCAATATGATCTCTATATATCTATCTATATTAAGTCATGGTATCTTCACTTTTTATGCGTTGACCTGATTTACTATCGTGTTTGATAGTTTTTTTCTATTTGGGTGTGATTTTTTTTTTTTTTTTTTTTTTTTTCTTGACTCTATTCACTGTTGTGTTGGGTTGATATTTCATTCGGGTATGCCTTGTTTTATTGAATTATCGGTTTTTTCTATTTGGGTGGTCGAATTGAATATTTCATTTGGGTCTCTTGAAATATCTATTATGATTCTTGAAATTTCGATTACGATCATCAATACATCCAGTATGTATATGTTATATGTGTGTGTGACTGTGTATTCGTGTTCAGAGTTTGTTTAGATTGAAGTCAAGGGTTGTTCTTTATTCAAGCATTTGTCTTTGGTATGTTGAACTTTGGGTTCAGTTCAGTGTTCTTACTTTGGTCCGATGATTCTTGTTTGATTAATGTAGTGTAGGTAAAAACCACTCTTTCATCAATTTTTCCCATTATTTTTTTAATTCAGTTTCATATTTAAGATTCATAGTGGGTAAATTCTTGTTTTTGTAATTATATTTTGTTCTATGTTTACATTGTAATTATATTTTTTTCTATGTTTACATAAATATTGGAAATTATGTACTAGAAAGTAGGATTCTTTAGTAACCAGTTCTATAATTTTTGGCGAACTCTTAGCCAAATGTATATATATATAGAGAGAGATGGGAATTTGAATGCTCAAGTTCAGAAATTCAGAAATTTTGGTAGATGATGCAAATGCTAGATTTTTCTTTCTGTAACAAATAAAAACCTTCACTTCCATAAAAATGCTATTGATATGGCATTCTTCAATCCAACAATGTGCTATTTGAAATCCATGACATTTGCTTCCAAAGCTGGTCTTCGAGAAATTAAAAGCAAGAGTAACACTCAAAAAGAGCTGACTAAAGTTTTTAACTAGGTAAAGGTTTTCTTGCTAGACATGTTCTTTAGATCATTGGGAAGATTCTTGAAAACCATGCTAATAGATGATGTGGTTACAGTAGTTGTGCCTTGTGATCTATTTAAAGTCTGATTTTGTGATAATCATTGAAAATCCTTTTGTTTGGGAAGGTGATTCTGTGTGTGTGTGTGTGTTTTGCATCATCTGATGCTTGTTACTTGTTAGACCACATCTGAGGAGGCCTCTTAGTCCCATAGAGAATTGGGGTGCAGTTGGTGTTTTCCCATTTAGCTAAACGAACCCATTTTATCTGAAAAATATAACATAATTATATGTATGCAATATGTAATTATCTGAAAAATATACGAACCTACTGACCTGTATATTTTGACCCTGAGTCTGGGCTATTATTTTTCATCTGATTGCTTATGGATAGTGTGTTGTTCAGTGTATATTTTAATATGAAAAGTAGGGAAGTCGGTTATTCTTCATTAAGCCACAGGATATAATTCGTTATAGGATGCTACATCTGTTGATAATCAGCAGTACTTCACAATTTGTTGGCTAAAATGGATATGATCCTTCATTCTGTACTTTCTATTTTGTATAAACTATTTGCAAAAGGCTAAAGTGCCAAAAATTAAGTGCTTAACTGCCTCCCTTTATTCACACTGCTGCTTTCCGATTGATGGTAACAGCGTCACATTTGTAGTAAGTTGTATATCGTCGTCTAAGACACTGGAATATCGATTATGATCATCAAGACATCCAGTATCTAGATGTGTGTGCCTGTGTTTTTTTCAGAGTTTTTTTAGATTGAAGTCTTGTTCTTTATGCAAGCATTTGTCTTTGGTATGCTGAACTTTTGGTTTAATTCAGTGTTATTGGGTACTTGTTTGATCAACGTAGTGTAGGTAAAGACCACTCTTTCATCAAATTTTTTAATTATTTTTCTAATTCAGCTTCATATTTAAGATTCAGAGTGTGTAAATTCTTGTTTTTGTAATTATATTTTGTTCTTCTCTGGTACCTTTTTAAATTTTAGATGACTTCACAGTTTGTTCATAATATAACTTAGACTATGCACCTGTTCTAATTGCTACTTGTTAATGGTATACTGTTTATTTCAGTTTGTTGAATTTGAGAATCAACTGAATTTTGCAAAATTTTCGAATGCAGGGCAATCTATATTAAAGACTGGGGACAGACAATGGTTCTTTTTCAGCCCTAGAGATAGGAAGTACCCCAACGGAGCTAGATCAAATAGGGCAACCAGACATGGGTACTGGAAAGCAACCGGAAAGGACCGTGCCGTTAAATGCAATTCTCGTTCTGTTGGGGTGAAGAAGACTCTGGTTTTCTACAAAGGTCGTGCACCTAGTGGTGAACGCACAGATTGGGTGATGCACGAGTACACCATGGACGAAGAGGAACTCAAGAAATGCCAATCTGCACAGGACTATTTTGCATTGTATAAAGTCTTCAAGAAGAGTGGACCTGGTCCAAAAAGCGGCGAACAGTATGGTGCTCCATTTAAGGAAGAGGATTGGGCTGAGGAGGAGTACTCAAATGGTAATCATGATCTCCAGGAAAATTCTGTGATGCAGGTCAATGATGTTGCTTCCGCCTCTATGGCACCAGTCCGAGAGGATGAAACTGGTAACATCAGGGCAAATGGTCATGTGTCTTCTAAAAGGGATCTCGAGGAGTTCATGAACCAAATTACGGATGAACCTTCTTTTACCCAACTACTCGCTGTGGTGGATCCATTGGTGGATCCATCCTTTAGGGAAGCCAATAGTCTTGGACAGAGCATAGTGACCCACCCAAACAGCCAGCAGTATGATTTGCAGTCAAGCTTTGACTTGACTCGGTCTGCCATCCCTAATGCACAAATGCATGAGGCACTTGAGGTCACATCTGCTGTGAATGTTTGTGAACAGGGACCTAATGCAACTGAGGATGATTTCATTGAAGATTTAATTGAAATGGATGATCTTTTTGAAATGGATGATCTTGTTGGTCCCGTAGCTGCTGTTCAGGACATTGAGAACTTGCAGTTTTCTGAGTTGAATGGATTGGCTGAGGTGGAGAAATTGAGTGAGGTTGATGACCTCTACCTGGACACAGCCATGTTTCTTCATGACATAAACCAAGGGCCACAGTCGCCAGAGTCATATTTTAATAATCTAGAGGATGGGATGCTAAATCCCCTGGATTTCCAGTTTGATTCCTGTTTGAATGATGCAAATCACAGCATAATTACACCAGCAGTATCAAATCACGGTACTGTTCCTGAACCAGCTTCAGGTGAATATCTCTACAGGTTTTAATTTTGATGGCTGTAATCTGCTGGTTGTAGTTTACGAGTCCTTTTTGAAGCTATGATGTTTTTTTTTTTTTTTGAGTTATTGTTTTATGTATCTGTTATCTGACTGCATAGAGCTCTTGACCAGATGGATGGTTTTTTGGTAGACCATGTCATCATCCAGATGGTGAAAGCCCTTTTGCCCCAGTGGGAGAAGGGAACTTTTGAACCAAGCTTCAAGAGCTCTTCTGCTAATAACTCTCAGGTGTAAATTATAGCTAATGTCAGGAAGTTTCTGGTGATGTTTAGGTGTGGTATGCGCCGCTGGTAATTCTGGAAATCTTCCTACTAGTACAAATCAAAATGAAAGTGGCAAAGAGGACGATGGTACAGTTACGTGGTTCTCTTATGCTCTATGGTCATTTGTGGAGTCGATACCCACCACTCCGGCTTTCGGATCAGAGAGTGCCTTGGTGAATAGGGCTTTTGAGCGAATGTCTAGCTTTGGCAGGGTGAGGATCGACGCAGGGAACACAAATGTTGCTGCAGGTAACTCCACTGCAACTGTAATAAGATCAGGCAAATATAATTGTAATTTTTTGTGTTTTTCTGTTGGTAGAGTGGTGTGTGCTATATTGTGGATGATAGGATCTGTAAAGTGTAAAGTGTCTTTGGAAGATTCATTTCTTATTCAATTCAATTGGTTCATTTTATAATTTTTTTTGTCAGTCGTTGGGTTTATGGGCAAAGCCTATTTTGAATTTTTTCTTTAAATTTATTTTTACTGTACTTATGTCATATTATTATGTACTTATAAAAAATATCAGTAATACATGCATATTTTGCCTTTGCCATGATATTTTTTAATAAATTCAAATATGGAAAAAGAGGGGAAAGAAAAAAAAAATTTGGCCTAGTTGATATGAAAAAAAAAAAAAGAAAAAAAAAAGGGGGTTGTTCTGTATACCCGCCTGACCCGTGAAAATTCAGATTGGGTGTCACGCTTTGAAGCCCATGCTTTGAATATAATTGGGTTGGTCCAATCTGAAGTTGTGTTGAGGTTGGGTTTGGGTTGGGCTGGGCAGGGCAGGCCCAAGTTGCACCCCTCACATTACAACGGGCCTAATACTTTGTCACTATAAAAAAAGAAGACGAAGAAGATTAAAAAAAAAAAAAAAAAAAAAAAAAACCCTTAAATGCTGCATCTTAATGTTTGGAATGATAATTAGACTGAGTTCTAAACCATTTTATGAGATCTTCCTCCTTAATTTAAAGAAAGAAATTATTGCTAATAATAGAGGTCAAATCATAAGCAAGGCCGGTCCATTCCCAAAATTTTGAGAGTTTGAAATTTTAAGACCCTCTGTGCATATCAAGAGTGCGAAATTTTTAATAAAATGAAATATTTGAAGGGTCTTACATTTAAAACACAACTTAATTACAAAAAAAAAAACACAACTTAATTACAAAAGAAAATATTTCAAACACAACTTAATCACAAAAATAAAAATTTAACTTCATATTAAAGTAAATGTGATCGTCTTACATTTTGGGTTGCAAAATTATCAATTAAAGTGTTCCAATCAACTTTCTTCAACATATATTCCGTATTTTTCAATAGAAATCATAGTCAATCCATTCAATCTCTTATGACATCGTCAACAATAGTTAAGATTTGATTAACTTAACTATGAAAATCTTCTCTCAACAATTGTAATTAAGATATTCAACAGTACTCTATACGCAATGCAAACATTTAGAAAATAATAAACTAGTATTTTTATAAAATCTAATAGTTCAATTGTCTTTTGTGTTTCTTTTGGTAAAGCTTATCTTAAGACTTATAACTCAGAAAATAATTATGTTCCGTTAATATGAGAAATCATGTCACGTTTTAAGAGATTTTCAAGTTTAATTTGGAGAATGTGACAATTAATTGCACCCATAATTTAAAATTTTAGTTGTTTGGACTGAGTTTAACGGAGCCTGTCATGCATGCACATCAACACAAAAATAATATAATAATAAAATAAATTAGTATTTGACTATAAATTTAAAAAATTGAGGGTAGGAAACAAAATATTATTACTGTAGAAATTATTGTATTACATATATAAATTGATATTATAAGTAAGTGTGTTTATTGAATTTTTTTTCAAACAGAATATGTAATCTCTGTAAGGGAAAAAAAAAAATGTACATGATGTTTGGACATAAATAAAGCTATTAAGGACGGATCTAGAAATATATTTTTTTAAAGAAGACTTGATCTTAATGCTAATAATATACATGATGTTTGACGCTTCTATTAATGTAAAAAAAAAAGTAAGCATACAGAGAGAAAGCAAAAGAGTCAAAGAATATAAAGAGAAGACGTTGGAGATGGTAAAGATGTATTTTTTTTGTCATTATTTTTGTCCTTTTATTTATAAATATATCTGAGTGGAGCGTTTGACAATTCACAAAAACAATAGATATGATATGAATATATGACAATTCATTGCAATAAATCAATATAAAAATTATTTTCTTTCAAAATACGACTTCAATTATTTAAAATATTTATTTCAATGATTATCACATTAATAAAAAAAAATAATAATAATAAAGACTTAAAAAAATGAAGACTTCTATTGGTATTACGTATTTTTTTAAAGAAATAAAAAAATTCAAATTTTTTTTATTGATAGGTAAAAAATCAAAATTATCAACACAGCAACAAACATATTGTAAATGATCCACTTGGGATATATGGCCCCCAAGGCCGAGTTTTGCTGCTCCTGTAGTAATTTACTCGGTCTGAATAAAAAAAATGCCCTTCCAAATTCTGGAAAATTACTGTTGATTTCGTTTTAGCCGAATCGTACGGCTTTGAAACAGAATCCAATGGGGCTCCCAGAATTTCATGTGATTTGAAGATTGACATTCAGAACCCCATGAAACCAATTAAGAATAGTCATTTTAAACACAACTTAATCACGAAAATAAAACACAACTTAATTACAAAAATAAAATATTTAGAATACAACTTAATCACAAAAATAAAAATTCAACTTCATATTAAGGTAAATGTGATCGTTTTGCATTTTGAGCTGCAAAATTATCAATTAAAGTGTTCCAATCAAGTTTCTTCAACATATATTTTCAATTCAATCCATTAAATCTCTAGTGACATCGTCCACCATCCAAACATTTAGAAAACAATAAACTAGTATTTTTATAAAATCTAATATTTCAATTGCCTTTTGTGTTTCTTTTGGTAAAGCTTATCTTTAAGACTTGTTACTAAGATAATAATTATCAATATGAGAAATCATGTCATGTTTTAAGAGATTACTAGTTACTAGGATAATAATTATAAATATTAGAAATCATGTCATGTTTTAAGAGATCTTCAAGTTTATTTTGGAAAATGTGACAATTAATTGCACCCATAAGTTCAAATTTTAGTTATTTGGAATGAGCTTAACGAACCTGCCATGCATGCACATAAATACAAAAATAATAATATAATAAATAAATTAGTATTTGAGTTTAAATTTAAAAAATTGAGGGTCAGAAACAAAATATTGTTACTGTACAAATTATTGTATTACATATTTATAAGTAAATGTGTTTATTGAATTTTTTTTAAAAACAAAATATGTAATCTCTATAAGGAAAAAAAACTGAGCAAAAGTACAAGGATTATGAATTATAAACGTAGTATATTTTTACAATTTTCTCGCCCTGACCTTCTACACAAGTTGGGTCTAAGATTCTACAAAATAAATAAATAGTATCCAAATTTAGAAGAAACAAAAAATATTTGGAAAACAAATCACGTACACTAAAGCATAGAATTATAAAATCATATTCTATTAATACATTTACTCACCCTTATTCAACAACCACAACCGAATCTTTTTTATTTATTTTTCTGGTAGTCTTCAAACAAAGAACCACTATTATACATAAAACCATAGAAGAACCACAAACGCTTGAAACGTTTGAACGAGCTTGTAATTTAATTGTTTTAAAATTAATTATGTATTATTTTTTATTTTTGTCAAAAGCAGCAAGAATGCTCTGTTTTTTCTACACTAACACAATACCTAAATTGAATATTTTGGACCTAAATAGAGCAACAGAGAGGTTGAAAAGCAGAGTGATTGAGAGACCAGTTGCATTAACTCTAGATGAGAACCCCAAGGGGTTGGCCTAGTGGAAAAGACTTAGGCCTTGGAGTCTCATTAAGTTTCAGGTTTTAAGTTCGATTCTTCTTAGGCGCAAGCAATTTCTTGAAGTCACAATCGCGGATATAGTTTGAGTTTTACCTGATTCTTGTAGAGGTCGCCTTACACGAGTCCCGTGAATTAATCAGGGACAACGCTCCGGACACCCCACTTATCGAAAATAACTCTAGACGGAACTAAGTTCTATTCAAAATTTTAGAAGACAAAGTCAAGTCATTTGAGCTATGATTATTATTATTATTATTATTATTTATACTATTTTAACAAAACTATAATTATATTCTTAGGAGTTACATTCATCACTACTAACTATACATGACAACAAGAAGAACAAAATTCAATTATTTAGGGGAGTTTATGTCAAAAAAAAAAATTCCTATGGTGTTATTGAGCCAAAAAGTGAAAGTAGTGATGTTATAATAACAAAAATGCCCATGAGTTTAAATTAATACAAATACCTTGAAACAATTTTCTTATTATTTTTTTTAAAAAAAAAAAAACGAAAAGGAAAAGAAAAAGTAAAATGAAATTCATAAATATTAAAACCTAAATTTTCTTAAATTTATGTTAAGAGGCATTCTGGTTATAAGATCACTTTAATGGTGTGCAATTTTCAGAAATTTCTTAAAGTTTAATTTTTAAAGGAAAAAAAAAATCTAAATTTTCTTAAAATTTATATTAAGGGATATTTTTGCTATTGTAACATCATTTTGCAACAATTGGATATTTTACAGTTTATGTCAAAAAAAAAAAAAAAAATTGCAAGAGAGTTTGGGTCAAATATTAAAAGTAAAAGGAGATTTTATGCATTCTATTTTAAATTTTAAAGTGTGTCATAGTGTGCTATTTCATCCATAGGGATACGATAAATCTAAAAATAATAAGATATGGTATGACATGAATACATCAAAAATAATAATTATATATATATATATATATATAATTTTTTTTATTTATCATTTTATCCATATAATTATAAATCAATCAATAATATGGAGTTTAGAGTTAAATATTTGTTATTTTTGTTTTCTAAGTTTTATATTATTTTCTAATTAACCTATAATCTATCTTAAATTGTGTTGAATTTTATTTTTTGAAAAAAATGCCATATCCTAAAAGTATCCGAAACATATCCTTGTATGGCATGAATACGTCAAATATAATAATATAATATATATTATTACATATATATGAATAATATATATATATTTTTATCATTTATCAGTATAATTATAAATCAATCAATAATTTAGAGTTTAGAGCTAAATATTTATTATTTTTTGTCTTCTAAAGATTCTATTATTTTCTAATTAACTTATAATCTATTTTAAATTGTGTTGAATTTTATTCTTTTTAAAAAAAAGAATTATAAAATTACCATGTCATATTCTGAAAATGTTCGAAACATATGAAAAAATAATATACGGAGTATTTATTGTCCAGACTATTTTATCTACGTATTTAAAAATAGGGATAATTTCACCAATACCTCCAGTAGTTTGGCCAAATATCAGTCTAAAACATTTTTCGAAAATAACTATCAGTCACATTACAAACGTTTGCTCCGCTTTTCACTCACACCCCAAAAGTCAGTTTACAGGTGTGTCAGACCACTTTTTACATGTAAAAAGACATTCTTACCCTTTGACTTTGGTTTGGCCTATTTAATTATTTTTTTATGATTGAAATGACATATTTACCCTTATAATGTTAGACTTTTATACCCCTCACATGTTTTACTCTTCTCTATCCTTGATGGTTTACGGAAGCATATTCCTGTGCTTTGCATATGAAGAAAACCACTCGTGCTTGTGCTTGTGCTTGTCGACCTAAGCTCGTGCTTTTCGCCGGTGAGAGAGCTTGATGTTGGTTGACAATGAAGCAAGAACTGGGTTGCTGCACCTCTGCAACTTCCGGTGAATAAAATAGAGGACTTTAGCGGTGGAGAGTTTTAGATTCCGGTGACAAGTTGAGGAACCAATCCTCTGATAGGTGTTGGGTTAGGATTAGGTGGTGAAGTGCTCGCCGGAGTTGATTTCCGGAAAATGATTTTGTTTCGTGGTTGAAGAAAACAGGTGATTCCGGAATCTCTCCGGTGAAATTGTTGAATGACAGATCAAGAGTGGAGTTCGTCAGAATTTTGTCTGCAAAATAATGTTTGGACGGAAAATGAAATTAAGAATATGAATGTAGTTGGTGGTATTAAGTATCGAAATATATTATTTTACAGGTATGCAAGTACCGTTTCAGTAATACATATTGTTAGTATGAAATAGTGTACATAGAATGTTTAGTTTTCCAGTTTCCACCATTACTTCTGACAAAAAAACTTCTTTTCTTCTCAACAGTCCCCTTTCGCTATGGACTGTCTCTGTCTCTCTCCATAAAGAAACCCAACAACAGAGGTCTTCTGTGACGATAGAAGTTTGATACACCATATCAGTTTCAATTCCTCTTCAATCGCCCTTAACATCAACCCCATACCCAACCTCTCAATCGTCACCCAAGGATAAGACCATGGATCACGATCTTGATCCGACCCACAATGAACGGCTGTCACGAACGCCCTGAGACAACAACGATTCCGGTCACGACGCTCCTCGAACCCAGTTCCACGACCATAGCCCGATCTTGATTCGACCCATAGCAAACGGCTGGTGCGACGGTCCGAGCTCTGTGACGCCGCCTTTGTGGTGGTGGTGACTTGTGAACGCTGTTGTGGAGCATCGCAAAATCATGGAGGGCCACCGCCGTTTTGAGCTCGCCACGTTGCGATGGTCGTCGACTATCTTTCATGTTCTCTGTTATATATACATGTACATATATATATTTACCCACATATATATATTTACCCACATATATATATATATACCTTTGTGTGTGCAAATATATGTGTAATGTATATGATGGGTGTGTCTGCAATCCAAACTGTTTGTTCATGGATATATACATAGTAGCAAAGCAAACAGACATTAAAAATTCCAAACGAAGCTCTGTTTTGAAGCTTGTCGGTCTTTGGTTTGATGGAGCGTTGGACACTCGTCGGTTCCCCTGTTTTTTTTCCCTCTGCTGAATCAGTCTCGGTTGCCGGATCAGTGCACCCACCTTCGCCGGCGATCTATACAATCAATCAAGTTCTGCATCTCCAAATTTGTCATCGTAGTTTCTGATTGCCGGAACAGTTCTTGCTAAACTGTAAGTTCAGTCTCCTCGGTTCAGTCCGTGCTCACCGGCTCAGTTCGCGTCTCGCCGGGCACGATAGTTCTTGCTCTTGCCGTTCCGTGTTCGGAGTTCAGATCCTTGTCAAAACAACTCTCTACTCCTAATCGTCATTCAGATCCACTCATATATATATATATATATATATATAATTATATATAATTTGTAATTTTATAAATATGATTAAAAAATTAGGACCATAGTTATTTTCAAAAAATATTTTAGATTGATATTTGATCAAATCTCATGAGGTGTCAGAGAAATTAACCCTTAAAAATATATATATTGCTGCTTCCTGGATATACCTATATTGTTTTTTTTGAAAAAAAGAACAAAGCTGACAAATCCACTCTCTTTTTTTATTTATATATTAATCAAATCGTGGACTAAATGATAAAAAACAATCAATAAGGAGAGGCAACCAAGCTCACTAAGCCTGAGTCCACCTAACCACAACCTTAAATCCATAAACCAATTTCTCGGAAACTTCACGTCCGCTTCAGTCAACTATATTTCTTTGACCAAACCACTCCTTATTCAGTCTCTGCGGTTCGCGATTTCTCAGAACCCTACTTCTCATCTACGCTATCTTTCTCTCTCTAAAGAGCCAAAAAGCTAGGGTTTCGATCGAGAGGGAGAAGTCACTTCTCTCTCTATCTCTAAACCCTATCATCATATTATCAATTCCGATTCTGAACTCTCTCGATTCTTCTAATTGTTTGTTTATTTATATATATAAGTAGTTTTGATTCAACTAAGATCGTCTGAAAGCCATGAAGGTCTTGAATTCGTCTGTGTGTGTGGGAGACGGTGATGTCTGGCCACCGGGGTTCCGATTCCATCCCACCGACGAAGAGCTCGTGTTATACTATCTCAAGAGGAAGATCTGTCGCCTGCGGCTCAAGCTCGACATCATCGCAGAGACCGATGTCTACAAGTGGGATCCAGAGGAGTTGCCAGGTATCAATCTGATCTCTCTATATCTATCTATATGCAGGCATGGTTTCTTCGCTTTTTGTGCGTTGACCTGATTTACTGTTGTGTTTGATTGTTTTTGTGTTTGGGTGGCCTTTTATTTTCTTGACTCATCGGTTAATATGATTCACTGTTGTGTTGGATTGATATTTCATTTGGGTATGCCTTGTTTTCTTGAATTATTGTTTTTTCTATTTGGGTGGTCGAATTGGATTTTTTATTTGGGTCTGCGTTATGATTCTTGAAATATCGATTATGATCATCAATGCATCTAGCCAGTATCTATACGTGTGTGCCTGTGTTGTGTTTTTTATGGCGCGAGTTATTCGTGTTCAGAGTTTGTTTAGATTGAAGTCAAGGGTTTCTTTATGCAAGCATTAATTTGTCTTTGGTATGTTGAACTTTGGGTTCAGTTCGGTTCAGTTTCTCACTTTGGTGGAGATGATTTGGGTACTTGTTCTTACTTTGATTAACTTTTGGTAAAAACCACTCTTTCATCAATTTTTCCCATTAGTTTTCTAATTCAGCTTCATATTTAAGATTCATAGGGTGTAAATTCTTGTTGTTGTAATTATATTTTGTTCTTCTCTAATGTCTTTTTAAATTTTGGATGACTCCACAGTTTGTTCATAATATAACTTAGTTCTAATTGCTACTTGTTAGTAAACAAAACCAATTGAAACATTGATTTGGGTTTAATCCAATGGTTTGTTTGGTTAGTTGGAAGTTAAAACATTTGTTTAGGTTCACTTTCAAAATTATGTGGCTGATTGTTATAACTATCTGAAGAATCACAGTGAACTCTCCAAATGAGATCAACATTGAGGAGCTCGAGCAGGCCTCACTAAAAAAAGGAAAATGAAGGAATTAAAATAACCAAAGTAATTGCAAATTTTTAGCTGCGTGATATCCTATCTGATTTTTCAACACATTTTTCTAGATTGATTGACTTTGAGATTTTGTTTGGCTGATTAAGTTGGTACAGTGGATGTAGGGTTAGCAATGTTGAAGCTTAGAGATATGCAATGCGAATTGAGACAGACAATTGTTTTTCAATTTTTTGTATATGTTTTGAAATTATCAATTGTATATCATACCCTTATGAATACCCTTATGAATCTGGTGGACAGGTAGTTAATGGTACTGTTTGTTGAATTTGATTTACTACTATATTGCAGTTGATTAACTGAATTTTGCAAAATTTTGAAATGCAGGACAATCTAAATTAAAGACTGGGGACAGACAATGGTTCTTTTTCAGCCCTAGGGATAGAAAGTACCCTAATGGAGCTAGATCAAATAGGGCAACCAGACATGGGTACTGGAAAGCAACTGGAAAGGACCGCTCTATTGCATACAAATCTCGTTCTGTTGGGGTGAAGAAGACTCTGATTTTCTACAAAGGTCGTGCACCTAGTGGTGAACGCACAGATTGGGTGATGCATGAATATACCATGGATGAAGAGGAGCTCAAGAAATGTCAATCCGTACAGGATTATTATGCTTTGTATAAAGTCTTCAAGAAGAGTGGACCTGGTCCCAAAAATGGTGAACAATATGGTGCTCCTTTTAAGGAAGAGGATTGGGCTGAGGATGAGTACTCAAATGTTAATGATCACGCTCTCCAGGAAAATTCTGTGATGCAGGTAAATGATGTTTCTTCTGTTGATAATAACATCAGGGCTAATGGTCAATTGCAGTCTCCTTTAAGGGATCTCGAGGAGCTCATGAACCGAAGTACGGATGAGCCTGCTTTTGCCCAACCACTCGCTGTTCAGCAAGTTTTTGGTGAAGAAGAAACACAAAGTACTATGGTGGATCCATCCTTTATTGGACAGAGCATAGTGACCCACCCAAGCACGCTGCAGTATGATTTGCAGACAAGCTTTGACTTGACTCGGTCAGCCATCTCTAATGTACAATTGCATGAGGCACTTGAGGTCACATCTGTTCCGAATGTTTGTGAACAGGGACCTCATGTAACTGAGGAAGATTTCCTTGAAGATTATCTTGAAATGGATGATCTTGTTAGTCCAGTATCTGCTGTTCAAAACATTCAAAACCCTGTGGAGAACTTACAATATTCTCAGTTCGATGGATTGAGTGAGTTTGACCTCTACCAGGATGCAGCCATGTTTGTTCATGACATGGCGCCGGTTGCAACTTTAACAGTGCCACATTTGTGTTCAAATAATATTGAAAATGGAATGGTGAATTCCTTATCACATACATACTTACAAAATTTTCAGAATGAGATTGTAAACCAAGGTCCAGAGTTATATTTTAACAATCAAGAGAATGAGATGGTAAATCCCCTGGATTTCCAGTTTGATTCCCGTTCAAATGATGCTAGCGGTCAGTTGTGGATGCATCATCAAAGAAGCAGCATAATTACACCAGCAGCATCAAATCACGGTACTGTTCCCGAACCAGCTTCAGGTGAATATTGCTACAGGTTTTAATTTTGATGGCTGTAATCTGCTATTAGTTTCTACTGTGGTTGTAGTTTATGAACTTTTTTAAAGCTATGATTTTTTATATTTTTTATTTTGAGTTATTGTTTTATGAATCTGTTATCTGACTGCATAGAGCTCTTGACCAGATGGATGGTTTTGGTAGACCATGTCATCATCCAGATGGTGAAAACCCTTTTGCCCCAGTGGGAGAAGGGAACTTTTGAACCAAGCTTCAAGAGCTCTTCTGCTAATAACTCAGGTGTAAATTATAGCTAATGTCAGGCAGTTTCTGGTGATGTTTAGGTGTGGTATATGCTGGTAATTCTGGAAATCTTCCTACTAGTGCAAATCAAAATGAAAGTGGCAAAGAGGAGGATGGTACAGTTACGTGGTTGTCTTCTGCTCTATGGTCATTTGTGGAGTCAATACCCACCACTCCGGCTTTTGCATCAGAGAATGCCTTGGTGAACAGGGCTTTTGAGCGAATGTCTAGCTTTGGCAGGGTGAGGATCGACGCAGGGAACACAAATGTTGCTGCAGGTAACTCCACTGCAACTGTAAGAAGATCAGGCAAATATAGTAGTAAATTTTTGTGTTTTTCTGTTCTTGGAATTGTGTGCGCTATATTGTGGGTGATGGTAGGATCTGTAAACATCTTTGGAAGATTCATTTCTTCATGAACCTATAAATGGGGTAGCCTGCCATTTTGTTCCCGGTACTCCACTGGAATCACTCCACTGGAATCAATTGAATCCTAAGTTATTTTGCAAATAAAGGAATTCAACCTGTATGTGAATGTTCTTTTTTAGTTTCCTTCTCTAGTAAGAAAAAATGATCACCGTGCTTTGGGTTTGAGTGGTTTTTACTCCACCTATGGTTCAAATACCAACCGAAGTTGGACTAGGATGGTTTGTGTGTGTATATGTGTGTTAGCTTTTCTTTATTGATTTTTTCCCCAAAAGTAATTGCCCAATAAAGGATATTTGTGTGTGTGTGTGTGTGTGTGTGTGTGGCGTGTGGCGTGTGGCGTTTCGGTGGTTCTATGCTCCTCATCCTCACTCATAGGCCCTACGAGAAGAGAAGAGGAGAGAGTAGTATAACCCAGCCAAAACTATGAGAAACCTCATAAATTTTGCAGTGGTTTTGTAGAATTGATGATTTTTTGTGCATTCAACAACATTGTGTGGGTGTGGGAGTCTGGTTGCATAACGGGTCGGGCTGTGGTTTTGGGAAACCCAGACAATGTGGGGGTGTTTTCCTTTGAAATACACAAAATATGTGACTTAAAAGTAATATATGACCGAGTATTTGGGTGTTCCACTTGGAATACACATGTATGTATAGACAATAGATGTGGAACAATTCATAGCAACCACCTATGTCACAGGAGTGAGTTTGATTTCCACACACAAACACACTCAAATGTCAAACTAGCATGGGCACTCACACGCCTTGTTTGGTTTGTTAAAGGTAATTTAAAAGGAGACTATTTTTGGAGGAAAAAAAAAAAAAAAAAATCCTTCTTAACTGAAGGTCAAAGAATTGAGTCTTATCAAGACTAAAAGAGGGAAGTGAATGACCGTCCTTGATGCGTACCATGGCTAAGCCCCAAAACGGAGCCGTTTTCAAAATTTGTTGGCACCACCTCTTTCTGAGGCACTGGTTTATTTAATCATCGGGACTCCCAAACACACGAAATTTTTTATTCAACAGTATAACATTGCCTGTACAATTGTGTTTTATTTTTGGATTCAAACCTAGAGAAATTAGGAATGTTGGATTTGTTTCAAATTAGATTATTTAACTATATAAAAACTCTCAAATATTTTTTTTCTCATTTCGATTACTTTGCGACCACTGCAACTCATAAACACAATTGTTAATATTTGCTAGGGGTGACAATATAAACTCAAACCAAAGCCGTCCAGACTTACCTATTAAAATTAAATTATTTGACTATTTAAATTTAAGTAAAGTGAGTGGATCAATAATGGATGAAAAGCTGGCACACATTCAATTTGAGGGTCAATAGTGGGTTAGAATTAAGTAAAGTGAGTGGATTAATAATGGATAAAAAGCTGGCACACATTCAATTTGAGGGTCAATGGTGGGTTAGAACTGTGGTAACCATCTAAACCCGCTCAGCCAATTTTTTTTTTTTTTTCTTTTCATTTTTCTATCACAAAAAGAAAAAAAAATTGTAACGCTCTGAAAAAAAAAAAATTTAATGTAAAAACAATTTTTTTTTTTGTTATTCAACAATCATAATAGCAATAATATTAATATTACTAAAAGTGTAGGTGTTCTAATATAATTAATATTTTATTATATTAATTACCAATAATAAAAGAACACGTCTTATTTTAATTATCAAATTATAGAGGGTGATTTTAATCACCATCTATGATTTGATAATTAAAAATCACATGTTTTTTTATTATTGGTCTATTAATTATTTAATAATTAAAATATGAGGTATTTATTTATTAGTCGTCCATATCATATTACCCTTGACCTAAGTATTGTCTTTATTTTATTTTCTGTGTCTATGTTTCTGTATCCCTCATATTCTCTCTCTTTCCCCTGTCTCTCTCATCCGGTTTTTATTTATTTATTTATTATTATTATTTTTTATTACTCTCCCATTCTCTCTTCTCTCCATTTCTCTATCCTCCTTTTTTTTCTCCACTCTTTCTTTTTTTGGGTTGTGATAATTTTCAAAGTAAGTTGTATAATAATTTTTTTCTAAAAGAAAAAATTGTAACGAATAAAACCAAAAAATTAATAAAATAATTTGATAATTTATATTTAAAAATATGTAAGTAATTGAATTGATTGTAGATTAACGAGCTAATTTAACACTCAACTTATTACCCATCTAATTGTCACCCCTAATATTTGCATTTGCTCATCTTTTCAATTTATTTATCCCGTGATAAGGGTGTGAAATTAGCATAACCATCAACAATATTTTTTATAATATCTTTATTTATATAAAAAAGATAAACTATACATTACACCCGTGGGTGCTTGTTACACTCATTTTTTAAACTTAATGTCACATATACGACTCTACCTATATTTACACACACTGTCTGCCCTAATAAACATTATGTGCTATGATCTAATTTCTAGAACTTTTACTAATATATTCACACGTTTACAAAATCTACAAAACTCTTCCATAATATTATTCAATCTATCAATTTTTACCAATTCTTTAAAATTTTCTATTTTTCTTTATAATTCTCCACAATGTTCACACAAATGTAAAAAACTTCATAACTCAACTCTTACTCATGTCATGCAGATGCCATGGATAATCTTTCTCATCTACGTGTCGGGAAGCAACTTTAAAAATTATTACTAAATTCCTAAATTACCTTAATAATGAATAAAATGATAAAAATAACCCTACAAATAGTGATGAGATTTCAATTCTCTCTCTCTCATATTCTTTCTCCTCATCTCCCTAGAAATTTGCTTTAAACTTTTCACTCATCCACCACTAGTTCCAGCAAATAACTTTCACAATTTAGGATTCGTTTGGCCATCGCTTTTGCTTTATGCTTTTGTTTTGATCTGAAACAAAGCAGTACTATTTTTACTTTAGAGTGTGTTTAATACTATTTCGAAACTTGGTTAATAATGTAAATTTGTTACAAGATTTTTAGAAATAAAAATATAAAAGTATGTTTGGTAAAAAGTGTTGCAAGTTTGAAAAATTAAATGGCTAGTTAAAAATGTTATTTTGATTTTTATTTATTTATTTATTAAACAATGCTTTGTTATAGTGCGTAAACAAACAAAAACATCATTTTTATTTTTCTAATTTTGGCCCCAATTTTGAAAGCGTTTTGGAACTATTCCAATGATAGCAAACGTTACAAAAAATGCTTCGTATTTTTGTTTCGCTAGAATACACTAGCAAAAATAAAAAATACGAAGCAAAAACATTAGCCAAATACATCCTTAACTTATAAATGTGAAAACTTGACGAGGAAGAGAGAGAAAAAAAAAAATGAAAGGGAGTGCAAAACTACAACATAGGTGAATCTCGACAACAACACAAATTAAACCATTTGAAGAAAAGAGTAATTTAGTCCAACTACGAATATTAAATAAATAAAAATAATTAAAGTTTTCTACAACATGGTGAGCATTTTAGTAATTCTATATTTATATTAGTGGTTGTTTAGTTCCGTTAAGCCTGGTTTTGTTGAGGGGCGTTTGTGAAAATAAAAAATAAAAAATCCAAAAATGGTTTTGTTGCCAATGTTAAGTTCAAAAAGGATTTTAATTTACCAATGACAAAATAGAAAAGTAAAATACAATTATTGTTTAATATACGAAAAAAAAAAAAATCCACATTTTAAATAGAATAGGATTGTGTATGGACACATTCAATAAAGTAGTATTTTTATTTATTTATTTATTTTTTTATAAATTAAATTTGGAGTATACATTTTTTTTAAAAAAAGACAGTAAATATGTGATCAATTATTTATTAACATGTTTGAGTAAATATATGATTAATTATTTATTAAAGAAAAATATATATGAAATTATAAACTAATTAGTACGTATATTAATTTCCTAGCTAGAACATCAATGTGGAAGGATTTTAAATAAGATTTAGCCAATAAACTTGCAAGGAAATTGAATATCTGATTAATTATTTGTAAAAATCATATAAATTAGTTTCTCAAATAAAATAGTTACTTTTGCCTTTTGGTTAATATAAAATATTTAAAAAAAGTAATGAATTTTTTATTTTTATATTTTACGCTCCGTTCATTCCAAATTAAAAGTCTGATTTTGGGGATCTAGTTTTGTAAGAAGATATATATATATATTTTTATTATATTGATAGTAAATGAATTATTAAAATACTCATAGTGGATCCATATAAATGTGATGGTCTATTTCTATAAGTTCAATGGAAAAAGTTAAATTGGCAATGTTAAAAATAATAATAATAATAATTTGATTTTTTAAATGAGTCATTTATTTTGGGTGATTTTTTAAATGTGTCATTTATTTTGGTTTCACCTTCTTCTGATATGAAGGTCAGTTCTCAGAATCGCTCTGTTTTTGGTTCTTCCTCAAACCCTTTTCTCTCTCTCTGTCTAGAAACTTGCAATCATGTATTCTCATCCAACTCAACCCTAATCTGTTACAAGATTCAAAAATTTTCTTTTCTCTTCTTATTTATACTATATTCGTGACCAAATCGGGAGTGATGATGTTTTGGTGACTGCTTTTTGTTTGCCCAGACTTGTTTGGTTCTTCATGAAAAATGGGAACATTCTACGTTCGTTCAGGTTAGTTTTATATAGCTAATAGTAAGAAAAAAAAAAACCCTAATATCTTTACCAGCTTATTTAGGGTTATTTGATTTCATATGTGATTGCATTTGAATTGTTGAAGAATGTAAAGACAAAGTTGTGTTCTTGTGCTAAAAATTCTTCCATCTTTTTGGGCATACCAGAGTGAAAAAAGTTGGTTGTTTGAATTTCATTGTTAGCATGGTTTTTGGTACTAGCTCATTAATTATATCCTGATTAGACTAGTGTAGTTCTAATTTGTATAGAGTTAGCATGGTAAATTGTACTCAAATGATTGTAAAACTCTGGTGTAGAAGATATCTAATTTAATCAGAAGCTGGACCAATCATTTATTCTATGATGGGAGGTTGCAGCTCTTCAAATCCGTATTTATCAGTATCCCAACTTCCAGAACATTTATTTTATCAATTAGGTCGTAACCAAATTAACCCTAAGGGGATAG